TTCATTAGGCTCATTTGATAGAGATTTTTTTTCTCTTTTTAATGACGTACCACGTTAGCACCCGTCTAGAAAAAAGTAATTTTTATTTTAAGCTTTTTTTGATAGGTTATGTCACTGCCTTGAAGTGGTAAACATTTTGAACATTCGTTGCGACAAAAACCATTTTATTGCTAATTTTGTTTTGCCTTCAAGGTTTAATAAGAAACGTACACGTTCATTTGTTTTATTTTGATGTAGGAGATCTGGATTAAAGTTATTGATCTAATTATAATAAATTTTTTTAAAAATTTTCTTGAATAAGGGTACTAACATGTTATATCATTGAAAAGAGAAAAAAATCACTATCAAATGAGCCTAATGAAAAGTTGCGCTGCCATTAAAAAAATTCAATTGTTTTTCGTTAGTCATTTGTTTTCTGAAATAAAAACAACTGAATGCTGCCTTACTATCGGAAATAAAATGTTAAACAACTTTCATAGACAAAAATTTTGTATACATTCGATATTTACCGAAATATATACATAATGGGCACCCTGTATAAGGCAGTCCATGACGACCGAGGGCATTATGCTCTCAAACGGCCTGTCAAATATATTGATGGAGTTATAACGGGTGATCAAAAATGAGTTGCTGTCGAGTCGCCTTTGGAAGTTCAAGTTAAATACGATTTCCCATGTAAACAAAAGTTCCAAAGGTGACTCGACAGCAACTCATTTTTGATCGCACAGTATTATGTATATAATAAAAAAAGATGCTACTTGATTCGTATGAAGCACTTTAATGTTGGTCAAACAATAATCATTACATACATTGTATTTTGGAAATGCATTATTTGGAACGATGAAAAATAAAATTTTGTATGCACCTCAGGCATTACTCGATTTTAACCCTCGAGCGACTTACGATCATAATCTACGCCATCGTTTTCAACGAGAATCTTTAACTTAAACTGACATTTTAATTTGACATGACGAAGTATATTGATTCTACAATCCAACAAATTTTTTTATTCCAAATTTGAATTTTATTATTGAAATTGTATCTGATTACCGGAGTACAAAAAATAGAGTATATACCATGGGACTAAAGTGCGTCCTAATCCCTTGGGTGCTTGTTGCCCTCAACGGCCTCAACTACGTTTCTGCACCCTCGGCATTAAAACACATACTTTAGTCCCTTGGTATATAATAACCCAAAACCGTCCTGAAACCTTCATTTTCATGCCTACTTTCTGTCAGGAAATTTTAGTTTCCATGAGAGAGACAGAGCAGACTACGTTTCCTGTTCCTGCCGCTTGTCACTTTACTGGCCGCCCCTGCCACTTTACCGGCCGCGCCGTCACTTTACCGGCATTTTTGACATTTCCAAATGCCTACAATGACATTAATCAAAAGTTCTATATAAAAATTGAAATTTTATATTAAAAGACGATTTCGGGTAAAATTTAATACAAAACTCGTCAGTAAAATGCCATTACCTGACTCGGAAATTAAAGTACTCGGCCCCGAAGGGGTCTCGCACTTCAACATTTCCTCGCCAGTAATATATCATTTTCCTGGCTTTCATGTAAATAACATTAAATTTGCTACAATTTGATCCCAAGCAGCTCTGTAGGTCTAGTAGATTCTGAGGTAGGCCCCTTCGCATTTTTTCAGTGCAACTGCTCACTGCTGCAATACAAAATTGTTACATTTCAGTCTACAACAATCTCGATAACGTGATTATTATAAATAAGCCATTTTACGTCTATTTTTCTCGTTACAACGATGCAGTGGTGCAGTAACACACTTTTCCTAAAAATACAGTTTTTCATTTATTACGAAGAGTGCTTTGGAAAAACATTTGACAGTTTGATTCATCTGTCTAGTTGCGGCATTGGCGCGTTGAAAAATTCGATTTTTATCTAAACAGAATTGAACCTTCGTTTTACAAGAAAATTCTAATTCAAATGTCAAATTAGAACAAAAAATACATAAGAATAAATAATATTTAACCCAGATCACATGTGTTCAAATTGTCCACCTCCTAATTCTAAGCACAGTGCAAGTTTCTTCCTAAGATTTGTTATGGCTCTTGACACATCCTTTCTTCCAATCATGTGCGTGATGAGAGTGGTGACAATTCTTTGACGAAGTTCATCAAGGTCGGCCATTTTCAAAATGGCGTCCATAAGAAAAAATAAAGTTGCCATGTGTTTCTCCGTCATCTTGAAAATTATTAAGAACGAATCACCATAAAAAAGTGTCTGAATAATGTGTTGATTAGAAATGTCCAGTACGATTAGTTTATCATGAAAAAATTAAAAACGAAAATTTTTTTTGGATATTTTTGAAAGTATTGAAGATATTTTAAATTTCTTTTCAACCTATTATTTAGCACTAAAATTCCTAATTTTTGCCCTCATTTGACCAAATTTCTATCTCTTAAGATAAGCGCGAACTGAATGTCTCCCATGGGGATCTTCGAAACAAAAGAAGATACGACAATGTTCAAATTAGAGAAAAGATGCGCAATAAAAGTATTGTTTTAACAAATCCAGAAAATTTTGTTTATTTCCGATGAAACACCCAACATTTACAAAATGCGCATTTCCACATTAATAGTCTTTGTCCGAAAAAGTTAGTTACTTCAGCCAAATTCGTTTTCAGCAATTTAACCAAACAAGTATAAATTGAGCACGACTTTTGTGCAGATAAAGCGCATTTTTTTAAAACCGATACCTTAGTAAATGTTAGGGTTATAAAGGGAGGAGGCTGTTTACACACAAACATTTAAAGACCGCCTGGCATACATTGAAAATCCTCCGACACTCCATTCTACAGATTTTGCCTTTGAGAGTACTTTCCTACGACAATTTTTCGAGATATATTTCTTCCAGACGTCCCAATCGCCCTTTGTGAGTACCCTCTTGCGACACTCCGTCCTGCAGATATAAGGGAATATATCCGATCACGATAAGAGGTCGAGGAGGAGGACAATAGTTGGTAGAAATTAATTCCTTTGCGTATAGAATTTAAAAGCACAAACATCTGATACAACTGAATACTGAACGATAATCGAGATCTTCGTTCATCCATTAATTTTACAACACAGCTTCTTAAGGGGTTGATCCCGTCCCCTCAGATTAGCATAACTTTTAAAACAATTTTTTAAAATTTGGTATTAGTTTTACTTTTATTCCAGGTGCGTATATACAAACTTTCCTTTAAGTCTCTTAACAACAATTGAATTGCGCAAATGCCAAAGCTGGGTTGCGCATGCGCCAATTTTTTAAATTAATCTTCATAGTTGCTTGAGGTTTAAAGAATATGTACTAACACTAACACAGAGATTCATATGTTCTTTGTAACAAAACTGAAACGAGAACCCCATTTTTTGGAGGTTTGGCCAGTTTTTAGGTTGTAACTTTTTGGCCTGTTAGTCTACGTAGCTGAAAAACAATAGCGACCTTTCTTACACCTTGAAATAGGCTTACCAATTTCAAAGCGATCCGACGTTTTTGCCCAAAGTTATCGTGGTCACGGACAGACAGGCGGGCAGAAATAGACTCACAGACAACAGGCAGACACACAGGCTCGAGGATTGTTAATAAACGGCAAGTGTAAAATTATGGTACATGAAAAAATTGATTTTTTACTATAACTTTTTTAATAAGAAACGCAGATAAAATTCCTTTCTTGGTGCAAGCCTCGACACCATAACGAAGCAAATAGCGAAAAAAGTAGAACGATAGCTCTTAAGATAAAGAACTAGTAGCGTCCAGACGGACGGGCGGACGGACGGACAAAGTGGCCACAATAGCTCATTTTTTTTTTGTGGAAATGCGCTAAAAATTAATTCATTGTATAAATTCTTCAGTTGCGGTGATGCGGATTAATTTTAGCCCTTTTTCAATAACTCGAAAAAGGAACGACTGAAATTCGAAAAAGCATTATTGGTTACACAATAAATTAATCAATACTCATTTGACATAAACGAAAAAAACGACCAGCAGTGCAAAATACCAAATATTTCTTCGGTAAAGTTTTAATATAAATGCGTGTAGAATTCTAATAAAGGACCACTGTTCCCATACTATTCGCAACACCCCCGTTGTTTATTTAAGATTTCGTCCACTCGAATTATCATATCCAAGATTTTATGTTATTTATTTCAGTTGGTGGAGGATATGCAAGATTACATGCATAAACAATTGGGCTGTTTGGGAAGGGTGGCGGAGAATGACGAGTGTGGGGATATAAGGGATAAAGAGCGGCGGCGGCGTGTTGTTAAAGCTATAGATTTTGCCCCCCAAGTGGCCGTTTCCGAGGATTATCGACGTTCAGGATTTGCTATAAGGGCACTTACATTTATTACTTTTATTATAACATCGTGTACCAATTGAATGTACCATTTAAGCCTTTTAGAAATAACACTAAACGCGTGCGACGACTAATCACTTTTACTTATTACATTCGAAAATACGTGACGATTATTTGAGAAATTTATCAACACTTGAGACATGTACCAATTTAACTTTTTAAAGCAAATTACTCATGAAAAATGTCGATAGTTTATACACGTGCGCTCTTATAATTATGAAGAAGTCTTGAAAAATCTAGTTCTCAGGATAAAAGTGCAGCGTTTGCGAAAGCTCCTTTTCCTCAAAATAAATAGAAAATTGCAAGGTAAGCCTTCTCTACTAGAGCCCCTTGTTATTCATTGCGGGCTACACAATTAAGAAACCTTTCCTGAAAATTTTAAGAAACGGGCTATTTATAAAACGTTCTTGTGTTTTAAAATAATAAAAAAAAATGATGAACAATCTCAAGTTGGTGAAAATCATAACAATTAGTGCAAAGCGAAGGTCAGCGCAATGAGCCTGCCTTCCGCGGTAGCGTAGGTCAGCACGAACCTCTTTTGTTTTGAAAACATTTTGACAATATTTATGTATGATTAACTACCTTCAGATTAATTCTGCCACCTCGCTTAGTATTGTATTTAATACGTGAGTCGTCGTAAGTACGATTCGTCTTTGTTTGTTGTTAAATTGTGGTTGTTTTTTAAATTTGTGATGCAGGACCCATTATCCCTTTTGGAGAATGAGGCGGGTGAGTGCGTTGGTTGGTAAGATTTCCTTGAGAAATTATATTCTACCCTTCTTTACGCAATGCGTACATATATATGTATCATCGTCCTTCATGTTTTGAAAATGCTGAGCTTCACTTTTAAAATTTCAGCCAATTCTCAGCTTTTTGGGGGAATTTTTCGAAAAAATTTTTGGTTTTGTCCATCTGTCTGTGCCTCTATTCCTCGTTTAACTCGAGACCTTCGCCAATGGATTCTTACGAGTTCAAGGATCAGTGCTAGTGAATATGAGCGAGAGTAAAAGTCGTGGTTACAAATAGTTACGAGCTGAGAGTAAAAAAATCCCCTACTGACAGTGTCGGATTAACCATTAGGCAGAGTAGCCAACTGCCTAAGGGCCCCGGGTCGACTAGGGGCCCCGTGCACACACCAAAAAAAAAATTGAAACGTTCATCGAACGAAAATGCCATTTTTTGCTCCTTAAATAGTAAAGACAAGGAAGTTTTAATTTCATTAAAAATGCACCGATTTGGAGGAAATTTTCTTTTTGTACATATTATAGCTAATAAAATTGGATATGAAAATCGAAGATCAAAAAAAGGCAAAAAAGACGATGCATTCATTTTGTATGCCTGTCTGAAGACATTGGGGAGAAATTAATGGGGAAATAGACAGATTCATGCAAAAAAATACTGTTTGGATTAATGTAGTGGTAGTAACATCAGGTAACTGGAAAATGCGCAGGTGCACCATCCTGTTGAAACCACTGACCTCAAAGATCAATGGTTGAAACCAACAGTTTCCAGCTTTTGTTTTTTTTTTTGTGTGGTCATAGTTGTATTCCTAATGAAAAATGATACTCAATACAGTATGTACTTTTTTACACGCCATATAAAAAATAAAGTAGATGATTTCTCCGAAATGAAACGTTATATTGAAAATCTCTCCACAAGGTCTTGTACAGCTGAAAGAGTGGCAATGAGAAAGTATTTTTTTTATTTTTTCGTACCTGTTCAAACATCAGAAAATATTACAAAGAAAATCGGTAAATTTCGGTTTTTCTAACATATCATCGGAAGTAATCGGAATTTTCTTGCTATTTACATCAATATAAGTAATAACTGATTAATTGCGCGACGTTTCTCGAATTGTATATGCTATGGTTTTCTAAATCCGCATAATAGACGTTCTCCTCTTGGACATATTGTACAGGGTGGTCAAAATTGCTTGTTCGCGATGTTTTTCGGGGATATTTTGAGAACTAAAGGATATAAATGCTGCGGTTTGCACTTTTCCGAATACTTTTCAAAGCTATCTAGATTGACGATGTCAATTTTGACGTATGACTTGTGGGAACGTGGCAACAGCGCAAAAGTCCAAAAATGTTATAAAAAGTTTTTACTTTATAACTTAGACAGAATAAAAGTTACGTAGAAATAGTTTCTGAGTAAGGGTGTGTATTAAATATTTCCCATAGTCTACTTAGTTTTTAAGATACAGCACCAAAGTTTGTTTTTTCAAATAGAATGTATAATATTTTTTTGCAGCAATAAATTCCGATTTTTTTCTAATTAGGAAAATACATAGTTATCATTATCAGTATGTTAGAAGTTAAACTCTGTGATCAATATAAATCAATCTAAAGTCTGAGTAAACCATAGATATAGCTTTCAGTCAAATTTGAGATAAATTAGCAAATTCTATTGAAATACTGTTATTTTGAGCATTTCCTGAAATATGAACTATATACTCCACGGCGTACTTGTATTTAATCCATATTTTCATGACTGAATTTTCCTATTTATTTAAATTTTTTTTGGATCAAAGATACTGATAACTAGGTATTTTTCTAAATGAAGAAAATAAGGACGCAAAAAAAACATTTAATGCTGTATCTTAAAAAGTAAGTTGGCTATGGAAGATATAAAAATACGCCCTCACTACGAGACTATTCTACCATTCTTTCTACTTTTTTTAATATTCCCACAAATAACCAATTTATAGCAAAAAATTTTCATTGTATTTTTGAACTTTTGCGGTGTTGCCACGTTCACGCAAGTCAAACGTCAAAATTGATATCGTCAATCTAGCAGCTTTGAAAAGTAACTTCGAGAAGTGCAACTCTGCTTCTTTTAGTTCTCAAAATATCCCAAAAAACATCAAAAACAAGCAATTTCGAACACCCTGTACAATTTATTTGTTAGTTACAAACTGAACTTTACGCCAAAATTGTAGTTTTTCATACTGCATATTAACTAGAAGTTTTGTAAATTTCTCTCTTTTGTGCACATTCAGGAAAAGTTTGCCTTAAAAATGTAACACCCTGTATAAATTTTTCAATCAATAAAGAATTTTTCTTTCTTCTTAAAGAAAATATTGGCTGTTTTCTTTTATCTATACTGTTTCATGTTTAAAAAATCACGCTCACAATTGGAAGTATTTTTATTATATCTATGCTCCGCGTTGGTAAGCCGCTAAAGTCAAATATTTTATGACCCCTATTACAAATCTATTTGTTTAAACAAGAAAGTATAGTAGCATTAACCACAAACTTTGAGAAAAATAGTGCTAAAAACTATAATACGGCTCCCGCGATTTTTGGAATTTTAGATTTTCATTTTTGACCTCAGTGCGCCGGCTTAGGGGAGTTTCGATAATTGGGGTAACTTTTCGTGAGGTTAAGAAAACTCCTCCGGCTTCTGTCGGGGTAGCTGCCGTAATTTTGGAAAAAAATGGCACCGCAATTCCTATTCTCACTTTCTGAGCTCTTGGCCGACGTGGGGGAGCTTATTTTTATCGGAGGTTCCATCTTTAATAGCGACCCTGTATAATTGGATTGTGATAGAAAAAATTGTCGTAAAAAGTAAGAAAAGGGTGAATTGAAGGAAAGGAGAGAGGGGGTGAGAGTTGCATTGCCTAGTGCCACTGACAGAGTCAATCCAGCAGTACTGCCTACTGAAAATCGTACGCGATTCTTTCGTATTTTGTTATATTTTAGCGCATTCTACAGAAGGGTAGAAAGACCATGCGAGTTGCTATTAGTAATTTACAGGTTTAACTGTCATTATTATTATCCATGTGGGGGAATTCGAAAGAGTTGCCAAAATCTGTCTAGAAATTTACAGTTTTATTTGACAATTAACAGATATCTATGAAAATTTACATATCTTTCAGATAACTCTATAAATTTTGCAATTTAACATCTATTTCGGATTAAATTTTTTATTTATAGAAATTTACAAATTCTTCTTGGGATCTTTCTGAAAATGTAGAGATCCTTTTGGGAATCTATATAGATTTCTGTGGTAATTTACAGACTTTCCCGTAATATCATTCCGTCTGAAGGAGGAATAAGACAATATCGGAGGTTAAATACGGTGTTGTAATTTTTTTTGTCAAACAGTGTTGGCATGGTATGTATACTGTATAATCTAGACCCTGCATTATAATCATTCATAGTGGAAAATGCATAAAATGAAACTATCGAAAATGCAGAATTTACCTTCGGGGACCTATCAGTAAACGAACCTTGTCGAATTTGTTAGTCCTAATACGAAAACGGAAATCCATTTTGTAGAAGAACAACGTTATACTTTGAGAAACAGTTACGATTTCCTTAATGGATATGTTTAGAAACTGCTAAAAAATTCAAACTTGTTTCTTAATGAAATTCTTAGAAAGTTAATACTTTAATGCACGCGGTACGCTACAAATCAGTCATTGGTGTAATTAAACGTAAACAAATTAAATAGCCAACAAAGGACTTTATGAACCTTCACTAATTGTGATTTTCAAAGGAATTCTTTCCCCGTAATCCATTCCGTATTTCTTTATCTTTATTGTTCACCACTTCAGTTTTATATTTGTCCCATCTGTTGTAAGTGTTACCTACTATCAATTGTTCGAACGTGAAAAATTAAATCGCTTTTTGTGATTTTTTCCGCAATTACACTATGCTAATTCGTGTGAACCTATTCTTGTTTATTATCAGTAAGTGGTATAGGTAGAAAGCTACTTCTCTTCTGGCGTTTTGGTCGAAGGAATTTTCAATAAACATTGCTATTTGCTTAATTTATTGTAAATTTCCATTTCTATTTTCTGTCTCATCTACACTATCTATAGCGATTTTCCTCGGAATCATATAGGTACTATTTAGGACGTTTCGGGGGCAGTATTTGTAAGTAAATCTTACACCATAAAATAAAGTATATGGTACTTTTCATTTCTTTTCAGTATTTCAGTAGCAAAACACTTTGGAAAGATCTGTTTCATTTTAGAGAGCTCTCGAAATATGTGTGGCATGAGAGATTAGCATTTAAAATTTTTAGGGTTGGTGAGACATGGAGCACAAGGTCGCTGATAAGTCTGGAAACGATCGATTATCGGGGAAAATATACAAAGTATTGCAAAAAGTTTTATACAATCCTTTTAGGCTTCTTCAATATCTACTAGTAATTATACGGGGTTGGTCTTAAGACGCAACACACAAAAATTGCATATTTTAAAATGGAACACCCTGTGCATTATTCGATATTTCAAATCTCTCTCAATTTTAAGCTAAATTTGTAAGAAGCAGTATGTATCCAAACTCCATCGTTTCCAGGTTATCGAGTTTGGAAAATAAGCGCTATTCCTTTAACAGTATTGAAAGAAAAACAAGATACGAAGAATCGCATACGATTTTCAGTAGGGGAATTTCTTGACACTCGGCTTTCATTCGAAAACCGGACTTTTAATCCGGCTCATATTCAATAGCACTGACGAACTCGTAGAAATTGATTGGCGAAGGTTTGATATCGCTGACTCTTTTCGTTCCCGAGTTAGACGACGAACAGACAGACAGACAGACGGACAAAACTATCACATAATCTTTCGAAAAAAAAATTCCCCTAAAAAACGTTAATGACATGACGAATTTCTTTGTGTGGTTTTCTGTGGTTCTGAAAAGAAATTATAATAATAATAATAATTTTTATTCCCAACTTTGCTTAAGTATATTCAAGTTTTTGAATTGATTCAATAC